GAGGGCGCGGTGAGGGCACAGCCAGGGGAGTCTGCGGGCATCCGACCCCGAGGGCGCGGTGAGTGGGCACATTCGGGGGGTCTGTGGGCATCCGACCCCGAGGGCGCGGTTAGTGGGCACAGCTGGAGGGGATCTGTGGGCATCGGACCCCGAGGGCGTGGTGGGTGGGCACGGCCGGGGGGTCTGCGGGCATCGGACCCCGAGGGCGCGGTGGGTGGGCACGGCCGGGGGGTCTGCGGGCATCCACAGGCTTTCCGTATGGCTGGAGCTTTTCCAGATAGTGCTGGATGTTGCCTTTGAGCGGCTGCTGTGGAATTACAAAGTAGTTTCCCGTTTATTTTTGAGGCAGAGTCTGGCTCTGCCGGGCTGGAGTGCAGTGGTGCGGCCTCCACCTCCTGGGCTCAAGCGATCCTCCTCCTCAGCTCCTGAGTCGCTGGGTCTGCAGGTCTGAGCCACCACGCCCAGTAACTTTTACAGAGAAGGGGGGTCTTGCTGTATTGCCCAGGCTGGTCTCGAACCAGTGGCCTCAAGCGATCCTCCTGCCCCGGCCTCCCAATGGTAATTCCAATCTTACGGTTTCTCCCGTTGCCCCACGCTCTGCCCCTCCGTTCACCCGGACGTACGCACCTTACGAATGGTGATGCATTTGAGGGATAAATGGGGTGTTTCAGGTCTGATTTATCTGAGGGTATACAGAGCATGTCTCCATTTACAAAGAGTTTTGGGGTCAAGTTACTGGATTGATTCATTCTTCTAACGTTTGTGTGTCTGAGATGGAGTTTCACTCTCGTAGCCCAGGCTGGAGCGCAGTGGCGCGCTCTCGGCTCACTGCAAACTCCGCCTCCTGGGTTCAAGTGATTCTTCTGCCTCAGCCTCCCGAGATGCTGGGATGACAGGCGTGCGCCACCACGCCCGGCTAATTTTGTGTTTAGTAGAGATGGGGTTTCACCATGTTGGCCAGGCTGGTCTCGAACTCCTGACCTGAGGTGATGCACCCCCCTCGGCCTCCCAAAGTGAGGCCACCGCGCCCGGCCAAATTTCTTCGCTTCTAAGATACTCTCCCTGCCGCGACTTGGACAACTTTGGAGTCTGGAGTTTGTTTTAGAACCATGGACTGCATATTCGAACTGCATCTTTTTTTTTTTTTTTTTTTTGAGACGGAGTTTCGCTCTTGTTACCCAGGCTGGAGTGCAATGGCGCGATCTCAGCTCACCGCAACCTCCGCCTCCTGGGTTCAGGCAATTCTCCTGCCTCAGCCTCCCGAGTAGCTGGGATTACAGGCACGCACCACCATGCCCAGCAGATTTTTTTTTGTATTTTTAGTAGAGACGGGGTTTCACCATGTTGACCAGGATGGTCTCGATCTCTTGACCTCGTGATCCACCCGCCTCGGCCTCCCAAAGTGCTGGGATGACAGGCTTGAGCCACCGCGCCCGGCCGAACTGCATCATTACTTAATGGAGGTTTCTCTCCTCTCTCCTCCTGCTACATAAAATTGTGCCGCATCTTATGGTTGCTCTGGGCTGATGAGATTTGGTAATCTCAAGCTTCTAAAGCGTTTTAGGGTTTACAAAGCATTTTCCAATTTACAAGGAGGTCTAGGGCTCACGAAGCATTTCCGGCATCCAAGGGCCTCGGGTGGGGAGGTGCTGGGGAGTTAGGAGGCCTCTCAGGGTTTAGGAGGTGTTTTCAGCCATCCAGCGGCACTTGGAGTGGCTGGTGTGAGCCTGGTCTCTGCAGGAAGCACAATGTGGGGGTGCGGAGGGGTGCTTGTGCACCCCAGCCTGGGACAAAGCTGGGTGGGGCCTCGGTGAGAGGTGCGTGTTCTGGTTCCTGAGCCCCTCCGCAGCGTTTCAGGTCTCCCGCCCCTGCCCAGCCTTCAGCCTGGTGTGTGACGCCCCAGTTCTTTCCCAGGACAGATTCCCTCTGGTAAATGGATCCCGGGGGTCAGACTGGCAGCTCCCACACCTGGAGACGCTTCAGAGCCTCTACTGGCACTTTGTTAAAAGGCAGATTCCTAGCCGGGCTCAGTGGCTCACACCTGCGATCCCGGCACTTTGGGAGGCCCAGGTGGGTGGCTCACAAGGTCAGGAGGTGAAGACCAGCCTGTCCAACATGGTGAAACCCTGTCTACCAAAAATACAGAAAACAGCTGGGTGTGGCGGCGCGCGCCTGTAGTCCCAGCTACTCGGGAGGCTGAGTCAGGAGAATCTCTCGAATCGGGGAGTCAGAGGTTACAGTGAGCCAAGATGGAGCCGTTGCGCTCCAGCCTGGGTGACAGAATGAGACTCTGTCACCAAAAAAAAAAAAAAAAAAAAAAGGCCGGGCTCACACCTGTAATCCCGGCACTTTGGGAGGCCGAGGTGGGCAGATCATGAAGTCAGGAGTTCAAGACCAGCCTGACCAACGTGGTGAAACCCCGTCTCTAAAAAAGTATAAAAATTCGCCGGGCATGGTGGCGGGTGCCTGTAATCCCAGCTACGAGGAGGCTGAGGCAGGAGAATCGCTTGAACCCGGGAGGCGCAGGCTGCAGTGAGATGGACTCCATGTCACATGTGCGCGCGCGCGCACACACACACACACACACACACAGAGTGAGACTCCATGTCACACACACACACACAGACTCCATGTCACGCACGCACGCACACACACACACACACAGAGACTCCATGTCACACACACACACAGAGACTCCATGTCACACGCGCGCGCACACACACACAGAGACTCCATGTCACACACACACAGAGTGAGACTCCATGTCACACACACACACACAGACTCCATGTCACACACACACACACAGACTCCATGTCACGCACGCACGCACACACACACAGAGACTCCATGTCACACACACACAGACTCCATGTCACACGCGCGCGCACACAGAGACTCCATGTCACACACACACAGAGACTCCATGTCACACACACACTCACAGACTCCATGTCACACACACAGAGACTCCATGTCACACACGCGCGCACACACAGACTCCATGTCACACACACACACACACACAGAGACTCCATGTCACACACACACACAGACTCCATGTCACACACACACACACACACACAGACTCCATGTCACGCGTGCACACACACAGAG